CTAGATCCCATTCATCTCCCTGTTCCTTCATAACTATCCTCTGCCCTTGCACCCTCCTACCCAAAATAAAACAGAATAAAATTTGAGGAAAGAAAAAAAAGACAGGGGAGAGAGAGAGAGAGAGAGAGAGAGAGAGAGAGAGAGAGAGCACAGTGAGTCACACAATTTACCCTTTTATCTATCAATCTTTACTATCAAGTGTTCATTGCAGGGTCATTAGTCTAGTTCAAGGCCTGTGGTTTCTGCTACAGGATTAACACTGGGCCCTCACTGGGGCTCTTTTCTTGTTCTTTGCCTGTGTCTTGGGAGATCCTGCAGCTTTGAATCTTCAGGACCAGCCCCTTCGCATGCTCCAGCAGATCATAGATGGAGGTGGATGTTGGGGTGGGCCAACTCATAACCCTGGTTGTGGGCCTAGGTATGTGTTGGGTTAGTCAGCAGACCAGCTTCCCCTGTCCTCGCCATCAGGGTGAGCTCTACAGCTCTGCTAGTTTACCCTGTGCAGCAAAGAGCGAGGGGTGGAACCAGTTCTCCTGCTTTCCTCAGGGCAGGCTCACCCATGCCCACAATGCCTGAGCCAACTCTATTGTGTTACCCAGGTGAGAGGTGCAGAGGCCACTCTCTTGGGTGCTGCTGCTGGTGAGGGGCAGAACCAGTTCTCTTTAGTGTTACAGCCAGTGAGGGGTGGGGCCGACTCTGTGCAGTCCTATCCTCTCAGCCTTTGGTGGGAACAGAAGCCGCAGACACCAACCCAGACCAGGACTGCAGCAGGGCCAGTGGCCCAGACATCACCATGACTCCAGGTGGCAAGCAGACTACCCACCTCAGCCCACTTTCACCTCTTCAGATATGCCTCTCTCCATGGAACATGAACCATTCTATCTCTCCCATACCACACTGATGGGGAAAGTACTGTGTATGCTTATCTTATTGATTGTTAAATAAAATACTGTTTGGCCAATGAGACAGCAAGTTAGACGGGACTAGGAGTCAAAGAGGATTCTGGGAAATGTAGTAGAGAAGTGGTGATCCAGGCAGGAAGTGACATAGCAAGGAGACTCATATTTAAAGAAGGAGATACAGGAAGCATCCCTCTTTTCCCCTCTGCTCCTGCTCCAGCTGCACAATATAGATTTGCCCACCATAATAGTGCTTGATTGTCTGGCACCACAAGGTGCTGGGTGGGCCCATTTTTCCTCTGTACCTGGGGCAAGTTGCTGATTATTATAATTATTACGATTATCTATTGTGTATTTTGTTTTGTTTATTGAGATGAGGTCTCACTGTGTAGCCTGGGACTCACTATGTAGACCAGTTTGGCCACAAACTGAGAAATCCACCTGTCTTTGCCTCACAAGTGCTGGGATTAAAATATATTACACTACATCTGGCTTTTAGATTTTTTTAGGCATTTATTTTATGTGTATGAATGTTTTGCCTGTTTGTATGTGTGCATGTGTGTGCTTTGTGTCTGCAAAGGTCAGAAGAGGTTGGTGGATCCCCTGGAACTGGAGTTACAGATAGTTGTGGGCCACCATGTGGGTGCTGGAAAGTTAACTTGGGTCCTTTGCAAGAGCAACTAGTGCTCTTAACCAACAGGCCATCTCTCCAGCCCCTACTGTACTTTTCAAATTAACTTACAAGGGCATATTAGTTATAAAGATACAGATATTCAGTGATACTCTTCATATTTTCCTGGCTTGTGGCAACTTTGGTGTGTTTATATATCCTGGGGACCAAGGCCCTGGGTCTGCTAAACACCAGCAGTTCCACTGAGCCATGTCCCTAGTCCTCAACAGGATCCGTTTCAACACTTATGTATCTGTGCTCTCCAGCACCTACTGTTATACATGCCTAAGGATATCATTTATCCCTATGACCACATTCCATACCTTACCACCAAACAGTTCAATCATTTCAATCACATGAAAAGCCCTCCAGAGTGCCCAAGCCTCGACAGGCTTGTCTTCCACTGTCATCATTCACAAATCCTTCCTGCACCCCTCACTGAGCACCAAACATGCCCAGAATCATGAGACATCAGAGAAACATGAGTGAAGCATGGAGATGTAGGTTCTAGTGTCAGAGACAATGTGAATAAGAATATGAACAGTAAGTTGGATGCTGAAGTGGCTTAATGGAAATGGCCTCCATAGACTGAATACTTAGCCCCCACATGTTAAAACTGTTGGGGAAAGATTAGGTGTCGTCTTGTTGAGGAAGTGTATCACTGTGGGAGGGTTTGAGAGGTTTCACAAGGCTAGTCCTAGTCCCACTGTGTTCTCTCTGCCTCCTGATTATGGATCAAGACATAAGTGTTCAACTGTCCCTGCCACCATGCCTTTGCTCCACTACCATGAACTCTTGACACTCTGAAACCATAAGCCCAATTAAACACCCTCTCCGAGAGGCAGCGTTCCTTTGTGTAGCCCTGGCTGTCCTGGAACTAGCTCTGTAGACCAGGCTGGTCTCGAAACTCAGAGATCCACCTGGTTCTGCCTCCTGAGCAGGGATTAAAGGTGTGTGCCACCACCACTAAGAACCTTCTTTTATAAATTGTCTTGATCAATTTTGGTGTTTCACTACAGCAACAGAAATACAACTAAGACAGATGGTGATAGGTTCTATGTAAGATGACAAAGCAGGAAAGTGAAGAAGGGTGTAGGGTATTAGAGTGGAGAGTCACTGAAAAAGCAACACTGCAGCGTAGGATTGGGGAAAATGGTACATGCAATCCTAGGGAGGAGTCTTTCAGGATGGAGTGTACATCCGATGACAGTCAGGAAACCAAGGATGCTGGAATAGACTGGCCATGGGGAAAGTGTCAGAGGTAGTTAACAAGGTAACTGGAGTAATGGCAACAAGTCATGCAGGTTTTTATAGAGTCCTACGAAGACTCTGGCTTCCACTTTGAATTTAGAGAGTATAAAGGTTTCCCAAGATAGCTGCTAAAGCCCTTCATTCAGTGTTTTACAAGATGACCTTGCTACTCTCTTTTGCTGAGAAAACACACAAAGAAAATGTGATATATAGGCAATAGAATATTATTCAGCCTTTAAAACGACGGGCCTCCTACAATATACAGTGACTTGAAAGAACTTATAGAACATTGGTAAATAAAATAGTGCAGAGGGAGGCATACAAATCAAACCATCTAAGTATTGCGACTGTCCTCCAACCCAAGTAACCGCCATCTTGGGCAGTTTAGTGGCACCCCTTGCAAAAAGATCATTCCAGCAGGGCTGTTGATGGTCTACTCCTCATTGTAGAGGAATTGGGGGAATCACAGAACCCCTATCTGAGTGTCTAGATACTCTGTCTTAATTTCATGTGATCTTGGAGGTGGATAGGATATACAGGTGGAAGACTAGAGGAAGGGGGCACTGTCTCCGTGGCTATGGGGAAGCAGTCATACTTGCTGAGCTTTCCAGGTGTGCCCTGTTGGGGTGGGGGAGGAACATCTACACCCCTTATATTACTACTCCCAATGTTCTCTGTAAGGAAGCCTAATAAATTGTTTCCCTAAAGTGAACTTTGACAAAATCATGCCTGTTTGTGGCTGGGACCTTAGGAGTAGGAGAAGGTGTTGTTTATGGTCTCCCAAGAAGGAATTTTAGTAACATCAGGTCAGAGTGAGACAGGGTGGTTGGGGCTATAGTTTAGTGTTACTGTACCTGCCTACCATGCATGAGGCCCAGTGTTCAGCCTGTAACATCTGAAACACAAGCAACAAGCAGAGTAAACTCAGACACAGAACATAAAACTGTGGTTACTAAGGATTTTGAGATGTTAGAGAACTCAGAATTTCAGCTAAAAATTAGTTCAAGAGAAACACTGTAAAACATGGTGACTGCACTTAACAGTGTATTTAAAACTGCTATAAGAAGGAACTATATGTGTTCTCACCATAAAAAAGAAGTAATACATTTTAATTAGCTTGATTTAGCCATTCTATGCTGTAGAACAATCTTTGTATACTGTACACATGTATTACTCTCATTGGTTACTAAAGAACTGACTGGTCTATAGCTGGGCAGGAAGAGATTAGGCATGAGAGTCAGACCAGGAGGATGCTGAGAAGAAGGGCATCTGAGGAGTCTGGAACAAGATGCAGAGGAATCAGATGTACATGCTGTATTGAGGAAAGGTACCAACACACGACAGAGGGCAGAACATAGATAAAATATGGCTTAAGGTTGTAAGAGCTAGTTAGTAACGAGCCTAAGCTATCAGCCGAGCATTTATAATATTAAGTCTCTGTGTAGTTATTTGGGGGGCTGGCTGGTGGTACAGAGAAACCCCACCTACAATAATATTTGTACTTCAAGGCCTTAAATTGGATACCATAAATCATCCATTTTATTTGTTAATTATAAACTATCAGTATAGTTGCCAAGATGACTGACATGTGAAGGCACCAAACCTGACAAAGGCTAATTGGAGGCTTCAGGCATGTGTGTAATAGAAAGAAAACAATCAACATGTTTTTCAAGTTTAAATTTTATTAAAGTACAGAGTTAACAAGTTTGAGTTTTTTACATAGGAAAAGGCCAGTCAATTTCAGGTGCTTCATAGAAAAATTAGTACTCAAAAAAAAAAAAAAAAAAAAAACCCAAACCCCAAAAACACAGATACAAATCCATTATTGGCATTGTGGCTAATGGGGGAAAACAACAATTTTAAAAGGTAGCAAAATCTAACCATGTCAGAAACCCTAATAAACGAACAGTAGACTTACCACACAAATTGCATTCAAACTCCAATATAGAAAAAACGTAACCACAAAATTTGGCTACAGCTAATTGTTTCCAAAAAATCTTTTTAAAAAATTAACAGATATGACTATAAAAATTTTTGTAGTTTTTCTTTGCAAAGTAAAAAAAAAGTTTAAATCTTTAATAAATGAAGTCAAAATGATCCTCTTAAAACTTTTATAAATAGCTCTCAAGACATATATTACTCATCTGCTGTAATCTTTCTTTACCTGAGAGAATTTCCCAGGATCCTTTCTCCCAAAGGGTTGCCTTAGAGTCCCTCCATCATTTTGCTCAAATGAATGTGGTTAAACTTCTGCTGAAGTCAATTTGGGCAAATGCAGTCCTGATTTGCCTGCCCTTCCCCAACTAAAACAAAGTCAAATACACCTCTTTGGTAAAAGTCAAGTATCTCGGTCTTTCAAAATAACTGTCTCTGTGAATGATTCTCTGAGGGAAAAAAGGAAAAGAAGAGTGAGCTAAAGACCTTGTGATCAGCTTCCCTGTCTGTTGATGTCACCTCAACACCAGAGAGCCTATCTCTGAAATGAAAGGAAATGAAAATGTTTACTAGTGAGTGAGTTACACACAAAACCCTTCAGATCCTGTAGCCCAGGTGCCAACCTCTTCTCTGATCCTTTCTGGGTGTTCAGTCTCATTTCTGAAGCCCCTGTCATTTCTTAGTAGTTTATATGATGTGCACTGACATATACTTCAGACACACCAAAACAGAGACTGCTTATAAGGGCAATGGAAGAAGAAAGCCCATGAAGTTTAAATACAGGCTCTGGAGCTCCTTCCCAGATAACAGGGAGCACCAATGATGGGCCATCAGACAAAATAAATATGTACATCACCCGAAAAAGGCAGAGGGTGGAGCTTTGGGAAGGGGGCAGCTAATACTACAGTGAAGTCATCTGTGAACTGCAAACAATGTCATCATGTGGAAACTCTTGCTGGCCATTCCTTATGGGAACCAGAACCCCAAAGCCTCAATACCCCACGCTCCCTCCAACTCCTTCCCCACCAGTTTACCCATGACATAAAACTTCCCCAAACCTCTGGAAAACAGTTCATCTGCTGACTTCCCAAGAAGCCCGACCAGCCACCCAGCAGCACAAAAGCCTGACTCAGCAATGACATGGCAGGCTTTCTAAGGGTGAACAAGTGGACAGTCTCCAGTCTCCAACCAGGCATCTTGTCTAAGCAAGACTGACAGGAGAAACACCACCCCCCCTTAAGTGTTTTACTCATAAAAACAAGAGGAAGAGAAACACATACAATTTCTAACTCTGATGCCCTGTCTGCCACCACTAACGGGGTCCATCAGCAGCTTCAAGGCATGCATTTTTATGGTCCTGTGTGAGTAGGCAAGAAGCAAAGAGCTATTACCTTTAAAAAATTATCAATGGATAAGGCAAGTTAACACTGCCATTGTTAACTCAAAGCAATTGGCACACTTTCCAGTTTCTCAAGTACAAGAACCTGACAGGGTTCTTAAACCATTAAGTGGACTACCACCACCTGAGGAGTTTCTCACAGCTGATCAATTTTTTTTTGTTTTGTTTTGAGACAGGGTCTAGCTGGCATAGAGATCCCCTTGCTTCTGCTGAGATGAAAGGTTTAATTCTTAACTTCTACCTTAGTAAGAAACCCACAGTCCTCAAGTGCAGCCATCTCACTTCTGACCATCAATCTAACTCTAGTAGCAGAGAGTAAAGAAGGGTGTGGCTGACAATTCCTCTTGTGAGAGACCCAGCTTCTGAAGGTGAGGGCACAAATACAAACATCACTTAGGCAGCTGGAAAATAAGTTTTGGGCCTGCCTGGATGACAGAGAAGCCACAGGGGCTGCCACTGGCACTGTCCTGTGTTTCCCTGAGCTGCTTTCTGGAGAGGAAAGGGGGCCAACAAAGACCAGCCCAGGAATGTGTGGCCTTGTCAGTCTGACCTTGGTCCAATATGACCAGTTCAAAACTTGCTACATCTGGCTGCCAGACTCAGCAGAGAAGACAAAGGCCTTGACTAGACTTTGGCAGGAGGAAAACATTACTGTTCCCACTTCTACCCGAGTTCCCCTCTGCTTTTTCTCATAGAATGTCCGTCCATAGCAGTGGATGGAGCTAGCTCACATGGCCCACTTTCTGAACTATTCCCAGTTGATGGGGCTCCCATTCCCATTGGATTAACTAGATTTGTTTAGAGTTTGTGTGTAGTTATGCCTGCGATTCTCATGTGTATTTAAACTGCTGAGTTTTAATTGCCCCTGACCTATATAAGGAATTGTGACGAAGTTTACAAACAAGGGATCCTTATTTGCGTACCCTCTAAGACTGGGTCTCAAACACTTTAAATTAAGTGAGCTCTTCAAAGAATCCACCCATATTCATCCCCCGCCCCCATGGCACTTTTAGTAGGAGGGCACAGGAGTGAGCAAAAATAAGAATCCACATTTTGGCACATGGGAACCAGGCTTAGGCGGGTCCCAATTCTGCCTAATTTGTTCAGATAGGCACAGAAAGAACAGCTAGACCCAAGTCCTTCTGGGATGTCTACAGAGTTTTTCTACTCCATACAGAAGTGGGTTATCCCTCCACCAGTGTCTAGCAGACTCGGCACTGGGAATTCTAGACTAAGAACATCAGCACTGAAAATGCACACCCATGAGTATTACTTTCCAAAAGTGTGTCTGGGACCTTTCTGTGATGTGATCTTGGCTTTGTGAGATGCCCTCAGCCTCCTAGCATTGCATCTAAGTCTAATTCTTCACTTCCTTGTCTACACCTGTCTGCTCAGCTCTGCTGAAGCTCCTCACCCCACACTTCTACTTCAAGGAAGCCATGGTGTTAACATTGGGGCACAATGCAAGTGAGGAAGGCCTTGTGGTGGAGGAGAATCGAGGTGGGTGGGGTGGGGGCTGCTCTTCACACTTCGAGAAGGGTGTGACAAGCTGCAGCCAAGAAATAACTTTTCTGTGAAGACCCTTAAAGCATTACTGTTAATGACACAAGAGTTGTGATCCTCTGCTGGCAGGGCAAAGAAAGCAACATTGTTTCACAATCATATGACCACCACCATACAAAAGCGCCATAGTTTTTGCAGACTTGGACTGGGTAGGCATAAAACAGTGAAGAACTCCATGGAGGTGAGATCTAATTGTGCTTTTCACATTATTACAAAAATTCCCCAGACAAGAATGAAGGACCTCTGCCAAGAGCAGAGAGGAAAGGTCCTGACTCCCAGCATCATGACCTCACAGAAAAATGCTGTGGCAGAGACACAGGGAAGTAGTTCTCAGGGTGGAGAACCTTCCTCTTGTCCTCTATAAACAGGGAGCTGTGAAGGCTCCAGGAGGCAAGACTGAGTAACAGAGATCAAGACCCACATGAGGGCTGTGGATTCAATGGTTTTGTTTTTGCTTTTTTATACCAAGAATGAGAATGACAGGCTGTACAAGGCCATTTTCATCCCTGTGATGGATGCTGTGCCCCGAGTTCTGTTCTAGTTAAAACACATCCAAGAAAAACAGCAAGAGAACTTTAGCTACCACTTAGGGTAAGGCATAAAGACATAATTAATTGCACCTATCAGCTTGGCTAAAGATTTCAATTCCTGACGGTCAAAATGGTAGTTTCCTTTAGGACTTTAGACTAAAGCTGATTGGGAGATTTTGTTTGTCTTATGAAAGCACTGTCAGACCCAGGGCACCGGTTGCTGCTCAAGCCCCTGATGCACACATTCAAAGGGCAGCCCTCCAGAGTGGGGCACAGGCCTGCTGAGCCAAGGGCACCTGCACATCCTCACACTGAGAACTGCCTGGAGGGACAGCAAAGAGGGGCCACCAGGGTCCACAGGTACAGTATCACACACATCCAGCAGGAGGCCATCTTGACCCAGAAGATGGACCAGCTCCCAGTGAAGAAGGTCTCAATGGTGGCGCTCTCATAACTGTGGAGAAAAGGACACAGGTGTGGTGAGAGCAGGAGTGGGGAAGGGGTTTCCTCTGCTCTAGGGATTTCCTGCCCCCAGAAGCCTTCAACTTCCTTTCTTAGCAATTAATGGAGTTATAACTCATATACATTTAAAATGTACCATTTGGTGACTTTTCAAGCACTTACAGAATCACTACTACAATCAGTTTTAGAACATCTCTGGACATCCTGTAACCCTTAGCTGCCCTCCCATTCCTACTGTCCCCATTACCTGCATTTGTTAACCTATTTCCTGTCTGTAGGATTTGTTCTTTCTAAGCCAATCCATGTAAATGCAGTTATGCTGTCTTTTACAATTGGCTTTTTATACATAGCATAATTGTTTCCAAAGTTCTTTGTATTATACCATGCATCAGCACTAATTGCATGTCCCTTGTCTGGGATGCCTAGGACCAGATTTTAGAGTTTTCACCTCAGAATATTTACATAGATATTACCAGTTGAACAAAATTGGAAAAGTGAACTTTCCCATGTCTTATGAGATTCGAGAACATTTTGGATTTCTGGGTTGGGGATACTCACCTGTACCTCACTCCTTTTTATTGATAAATAGTATTTTACTTTCTGAGAATAGCATACTGTGTTATTTCATCAGGAATGGTTGTTAGAGCTATCCCTGATTTCTGTGTTGTTATGAATTACTATGACATGAGCATTTGCCTATAATTTTTTTTGTATTTTTCCTTTTTGTCTTAGATCTATACTTAGTAGGAAACATTCCTGGATTATACTATTATCTTTGTTGAACCATGCAATGAACTGCCAAACTATTTTTCAAACTATTGCCAAATTTTATTTTCAAATGTGGCTTCTGTTGTAGGATATTTGTACACTGTGTGAAGATATATTGCTGTGACTGTCTTAATACAGAACTGAATGGCCAATAGCTAGGCAGGAAGAGGTTATGCAGGACTTCCAGGGACAGAGAAGACTCAAAGTGGAAAGATGGCAGTGAGACTCTGAGGAAGTCAGACATAACTGAGCCATGTAGCAGAACACAGAGTAATAAAAACAGGCTTATTTGAGAAAAAAAGAGCTAGTTAGGGATGACCCTAAGCTACAGATCAAACTTTCATAATTAATCATAAGGCCCCATGTCTTTATTTGGGGGATAGCAATTCAAAGATAGTCTGACAAGAAAGCTTGTTACAGGCTTCATTTTACATTCCTAGCAGGATGGAATGGTAACTCTGATTTCTCCCTAACTGCGTTTGTTACCACCTTCCATCCTGTCTCAGATGTTCCAAGGCAAAATTCCGCCAGGAGTTTTCAAATGATCACTAGGAAACATCAAAGTCTATCCCTCTGTCAGGAAGAATGTCCTCCGGGAAGTGTTTTCTAACTCTGGGTTCTAGACTGTGCTCCTGGTCCATGGTACGCCACTCCTCAACATTCACCACTATCTGACACAATGCAAAGGATTTGGGTCATGGTCTGTCAATTCCACTAGAGATAATCTCTGGTGCTTACATGAGTGTGGCCAATGAGAGCCACACAAATACCTATTAACTAATAGACACATGGCTACAACTAGAAGTCTGGGGCTCTACAAAAAGTATGAATCTCCATGTAGGAAAAATAAGATCCATTAGGCATGGGCAAATTAAAAACTGGAAAGAATAAAAGATACATATTTTGAAGTAGGAAAAAAGCCATTGTATTAATCTTTCTTAAGACAACCTTTTCTCTATCACCACTACAGTGTTCTCCAGACCTGCCAAGTGGGATTAGCCCTTCCTGTCTTGTGTGCTTTGTTTCTCAGTACAGAGATGGGACTCAACACCTCTCCCACACTGAGCTGATGCTCTCTGAGCATTCCTGGGCACCGGCTACTCATTAACTATAGTGAGCACCCTCAGTATCTGGGAAGGGGCTGGTCCACCAGGAAGAGTGGTGAGCTTTTGGCTACAAAGGCTATGGGTATGGTGAGAAGTGGGCAAGAGTTTAGATGACTCCACACTTTTGAGAACCACACTGAACTTGGGTGTTGGTTGTTTGTTTTTGTTCTGTTGCTTCTTGACTGTGTAGAAATATTTACTCTGAGCTTGATTTTAGGGCATTTCAAATGGGCCACTCACTGGAACCAGCTGGTCAAGGTCATCATCACATAGAGGGAAGCCAGCAAGAAGACAAAGTGGAAATAGGAGTAGCTGTAGACGGTGCTTTTCTTCTCATCATATATGACCCGGGGTCCCTTTTTGGCATTCTGCTGCTCTTCAGTGTCTGTAGATGACAAAGGGTCCCCAAGGGCAGTGGTGAGCCCACATATAGTTAGCCCTATAATATCTCTTGCTTGCACATCTCAGTCCTAGGTGCTGCTAAGTGGAAGAATCAGTAAACACTATCTGCAACCAGTCACTCCAGGAATTTTCATGATTAGATGAGTTAACTAATATTTTTACTTTAGTAGGCCAGAAGAAAGACAGCCCTTAAAGACACAGAGAAACTTAGCAGAAGGGTAGCCCATGAGCTTTCAAGACCCTCGGACTTTCCCATCTATGAAAATATCAAGTTGAAAAAAAAAAATGGCACCCAAGTGAGGTATACATACCTCTTGGCATTTTCGTATCATTCCTTTAAACACACACACACACACACACACACACACTGTAATTTTTCTAACTCTTACTTAATTTAGACATGAACTAGAATGCACAGTGATTTTCCCTGCCAGCTGCCAAAAAAACAAAACCCAGCAACCCTTGAGGAAGAGGTAAGAAGTATATAAAAACAGTAAACAAGCTTTGGAACAAGTGTAGTAAGGTACCAATATAGTGCCTGAATTACCAATGCCTATAGAGAGAAATCCTGGTCTGCAAGGCCACAGTCAGGCGCAGCACAGAAATGATGCACTTACCCTCTCCATCTGGACCAAAGCAAAAACAGCAGCGGGCTACCTGTGAGAGCAAAGGCAACCAAGTCAGATACCTCTTTCTATGTCCCTAGCACTGCAGGCTGCCCATATGGCAAAGCTGCTATCAAAAGCACATGCTAGTGCCTTGAAAAGTTTGGCTGAGTATTCATCCCAAGATACACTGGGTACAGTAACAGGGGATGCCCTCGTGGGCATGGGATGACCTAGCTAGGTATCCTGGGAACAAAGCCTGTGCACCAGCTCTGTTAGGCATAGCTTCAGCTGCAGAACTGCCTTGTCCTATAGCAAGCCCCTTCTGGGTATCCCCCATCAAAGAACTGATCATGGGAGGCCTATAAAAGCCCAGCTAATAGGCCATGTAGAACATTCAGGGGTGCCATATATGTTTGGAGCATGCCCTGGGGTTAGTCTAGCTTACATTGCCCTTTAACTTCATCTATATTCTGCCTAACTCTGTCTCTTTCCTCACCCATCCCCTTCTACATGTGCTGACCCCTAATAAATTATCCAGTTGAGCCATTCTGCCTCGGTTCCTACTCCTGGATGACTGAAACATGCAGCAAACAAGATGAGGACCTTACTTGCCTTGCACTTTCTAGTGATTCATTCTGCGTGCTACTCAATTCTTCTCCCATCTAGGAGCTGGGACTAGGATCATGCTTACAACTGAAGACACTGAAATCAGGCAGGTTAAATAGGAAGCCAGCAACCTAGCTTTGTGACAGAGCTGGGACACATGCAGAATGGATACTTTGGGATCTATGATTGACAACAATAAGTGGCACGTGGTATTCAGGGGGTGAAGCTGAAGAGTGTGGAGTGGGAACGGGAGAAATCCAAAGTGCCGATTAAAGCCAGCTGCTGAGCAGGGATGGTGCTGCACTCCTGTCCTAACACTCAGGAGGCAGAAAAATCTCAAGTTCAAGGTTGGCTTGAGCAACACAGTGAACTCAAGGCTAGCCTGGGTGACACAGTGGAGTCAAACCAGCTTGGGCTACATAGCAAGGTCCAGGCCAGCCTGGGTTATGTAGTGAGACTCTGATAAAAACAAAACAATAAAAAAAAAGCAAATCAGACTGCTGTGCTGACTATGAATATAGAGGGCTTGGATACTAGCTTGTTTAGTACATTTTGAGTTTTATATCCTTTTTCTTATTTGTTCAAAACAATAAACTCAAAGAAAAATGAAATTATCTAAGTTCTATTACATAATTGCAGAAAGACTGATAACAAGGTAAGCGGCACAACACATGCCAAGTCTGTCTGGGAAGCAAGGGCCCTCATTATCTCTAGGGGTAGACAGTTGAGCTACAAAACCCAGAGCCAGAGCTGAGGCCATGGGAACATCAGCCTTTCATTCCACACGCCCCACTCAAGTCAAGCCCTTGTTTCCCTTCAGCTCCACAAGACCTGGACCATGTGAGGCAGCCTACAGTTCACTAACAGCAGTGGGCCGACTTCATTCATGCTGAGGTCTTGTTTCTTTTGAAGCTGACGTTACCCCAGAAAAATACCAGCTTGGGTTTTTAAAGGTATATCCCAGGCGACTCTGTGTGGGAGCATGAACCCACTTGCTCAGAGGCAAACACTGGACGGCTTCTCTTCAAAGTAAAAGAACAACATTCTCTCTTAAATCTAACCTGGGGACTCACTGATGTTTGAGCCTGAACTCTGTACACAATGGGGACATTGAAACCATAACAGCCAGTCCTCAGCAGGTGGCCACCCAGTCAGTGTGAGAACAAAGGGACAAAGGCTGCTTCTGGAGGCCATTCTGCTCTGCAACAGACAGCAGCAACCTATTCAACCCAGCACAGCTTTCTCCTTTAAGTGAAAGAAAGAGCTGGTGAACGACACTGGCAGAGTAAGGAGCCTTCATAATGCTTCACTATCTCTAGGTCAGGTGCTAGAAGGGGCATGCTAGACAGCCAGCTGCAGAGCAAAGTGCCCATATCTGGAAAGAGAGTAGGGCCTGTCCATCCAGTAAATGCTATTTGAATGGAGCCAGTGGCCAGATGCCAGGCAAAGCTAACAGCGGGAATCAGGGACAGCAGCTGTGCTCCTGGGCAATCAAGAACATGTACCCTGGAGCCACATCCTGGTAAATGGAAATCATTTTCCCTCTATAAAATGCAAAGAACAGCCCCTCACTGGGTTTTTGTGATGACTAAATGACTAAATAGCACTTGGAAGGCTCAGAACAGCACCCAGCACCTGGCAAATGCTAAATGACTTAGCCATCACTGGAAACCCAGGTCCTTGCCAGCCTTGGGGTCAAGGCTGAATCTTGTCTTAACTACCCTGTATGTTTGAGTTTTCTGACTATGGTTTATGTTTCATCAAGAGCTCCAGATTAAAAACAAAACAAAACAAAACAAAACAAAAAACTTCTTTAAAGGAAAGAAAACAACAGGGTTTTGTTGGTTGATAGTGGGCTACAGATTCCCTCCTCCCAATGACAAGCTGTGCATAGCCTCATCGGTGTGCTTACAGTTCTGAATTCTTTACTGAAGGATACAAATGTGATGGAACTGATGTATAATTATAGTGTCAGTGAACCCACCATGCTCAGCAGTGTCTGCAGAGCATGTGCGGTTCCCGCCCTGGCCTGTCTTCCTGCAGAACAGTATTACATAACCCCATCACTATGCTCTACATGGAGAATACAGATGAGTGTCAAACAGGTGAATGGTTTAAAACAAAAAGAACATCTGTATTCTATTACAACCAAAGAGAGTAAACACGGGCTAGTTGAACAAGGTTCAGCTCAGACTGGGGGTGGGTGCCAGGCTAACAGGCAAGAAGCCAACATCGTTAATGGAAAAATCAAGAATCCTTTCATTTAATAAACGGGATAATAGTTCTTTTTCTACACACACAAAAAAATTTCTTTCTCAGATAGAAAACAGAACCATGAATGCCCCCCTCAAAAAAAGATGTCAGCACAGTGCAAAGGAAAAATTAGTTTTCTTACTGGATATAGAAACCATACTTAAGGGCAGGTCCCATGCCCTGCAGTAAATGGCCAACACAAAACAAACTCAACGGTATTTTTGGAGATGTTCTGTCTCATAATGCTTTGCTTGTACATTTTCTACCTTACTTGTCTTTTGCTTCACTGTTATGGTTTCTGATTTTGTGTTTGTATGGTTTTTTTTTTTTTTTTTGTGTGTGTGTGTGTGTGTGTGTCTGTGTGTATATATATGTATTTTAGTGTTTCTTATGCTTTTTCTTCCCCCCCCCCCCCGGTTTGCTTTGTTTTGTCTTTAAATTGGTCTGTTGTTTGCTAAAGAGAGAGAGAAAGAAGAATGGATTTGGATGAATGGGGCTGGGGTCTGGGAAGAGACAAGGGATGAGAAACCATGGTCAGAATATACTGTATGAAAATTTTTGTGTTTTGAGTTTTTGTTTTGTTTGTTTGGTTTTTGGTTTTTCGAGACAGGGTTTCTCTGTGTAGCCATGGCTGTCCTGGAACCTGATCTGTAAACCAGGCTGGACTTGAACTCAGAGATCCACCTGCCTCTACTTCCTGGGTGCTGGTATTAGAAGTAAACACCACCAGTGCCTGGCAAAATTCATATTAAAAAAAAAAAAAAGACAGCAGCACATAAAGGTTGTCCTGAGCTAAAGCAGGGGACGGAAAGAAAGGAACTTACCTCCAGCTCAGGAGCTCCATAACGCCTCTGCAGAGCATCTGAACTCGACCTTGTTGTTGAAGTCAAACTAGGAAAAAACAAAGTCCAAGAACACAGTGAGTTGTCATCTGGAATGAAGGGGAAAGCTGCCTGGCTGAGGCTCATTGCACCCACAGTTCTGGCACCTGCATGAAAGTACATTTAACCTACTTGTGGGTTTATCTTTGCATAGAGGTATCTAGGGGGTAAGGGTGTGTCTGTGCTGAATAAGAGCACACATTTCCCCCCCTTGCTCTTCCTTCCTAATTAACACTGCCTTACATTATTTACACTATATCAGACACACCACCTAGAAACATTTTAACATATATGGAGGATGTATGTAGATCTTATGTAAAAAGAATTCCTATACCATTTTACATGCAAGAAACTTGATTTGGTATCTGGGGGAGGGGGACTCCTGGAACCAACTCCACACCAGACACTGAGTGATGAACATGAGCTACTGTGATGTTCCATTTGCGATCCAAGCTTGTTGGCTGATTCTACAATGATCTTTTTATGCACACTGTATTAGATCATTTTATCTGGACACAAGTTTGCTGATATCTCTGGTATTCAGCATGGGTTCTTGCTGCTCCTCCTTCAAATGATAGAATCACTTTCTAATTTGACTTTTAACTCTCTCATGAGTCTCACTTATGAGAGAACCCAGTTATGAGAGAACCCAGAGGAGATGAGAGAAAAACAAAGGGCAGCAGAGTGACATTTTCCCTTTGAAATTTGTTAGAGAAGTTTCTGGTCTGCTTTTCGGTTTTTTGTTTGGTTTTCCTTTAAGTCCAGGCAATGTAGCTCAGCTAGCAGAGTGCTTGTATAGCACGCCTGAAGCTGTGGGTTCAGTTCCCAGCACCACATAAACTGGGGGAAGTTACACAGACCTGGAACATCCCAGACTTGAGCAGAGTGGCTTGAAGATCAGACATTCAAGGCCATCACACACAGTGAATTTGAGACCAGACTGACCTACAGTAGATCCTGTCCCAAAACTTTTTTCTGCCTTCCCTTTACATAGAGAAGTAAAATGATATGGAAAATTGACTTACAAAGGTAAAACTATTTATTTCTCTCTTACACGGAAGCACTTTAAATAAACAAATATACTCAACATTTAGCCGAACTTTATGCACTTATTTCAATAATTCCTAAAGGCCATGAGTCTGCATGTGGCAAGCCCTCTTCTGAGGGCTAGGGACCTTCCGTGAAAATGCAGCTAACCTGCCTCACCAAGCTTACAAGGACACAGAGGGCAACTGTTGCTGCTCAAGAAGCTAGGCTCCTAGTGGACAGGCAGGAATTAAGATTCTTGTTACCAAAGCAACCCCAGGGGGCAGCAGGGAATTGTCTGTTTGCTCAGACAATGAACTGCAGAGAAGCAAAACAATGAACGAACACTTCCCTCACCAGCAAAAAGGTCCTCTAGGATCCATACCCTAGTCCTCTACTTCTCTTCCTGACTCGGGAAGACAAAAGCTCCTCAGTGGCTGTGCTCGCAGGAACTCAACTATCTGCTCATGCACTTAGGACTTCTGCTGACCAAGTATGCTTTAGTACAGCAGGAAGCTCCAGTAAGCAAACCTAAACTTAATTTTAGTGTCACATCAGTATCTGAAGTTTTCAACTAGAAACTGAAGAACAGTTTTTAGGAACACTGGAGTAAATACTCCATAAGTTCTTTGGAATATAAGTTTAAGAAGACAAAACTTTTGATTAAAGTACCTTTGCCACCTCATTCCCACCTTCAGACAGCACTAAACCAGGCAAGGGCTTTACTTTCTGTCTAAAACTATTTACACCCAGTTCATCCTTAGGGACTGTGTCCTCCTATATGCAGTAAAAGTCCTTTTCCCATAAAACTCTTGAAAAATGTCAGGTGGTAGGAGGACATGCCTTTACCCTGGCACTCAGGAGGCAAAGGCTGGTGGAGCTAGCTCTGTGAGTTTGAGGCCAGACTGGTCTACAAAGTTGAGTTCCAGAACAGGCAGGGCTACACAGAGAAACCCTGTTCTCAACAAACAAACAAAAACATATTGAAATTTATTAAAGAAAACAATGCTTTTTGCAAGCTCTTAAAGCTTAGAATCTTTCTCCCTTTCTTCCCTGTTACTGTGTGGGGTGTGTGTGTGTGTGTGTGTGTGTGTGTGTGTGTGTGTGTGGGTGTGTGTGTGTGTGAGGGGGAGGGAGAGAGGGGGCGGGAGGGTGCTCATGTGTGTATGTGCATGTGAAGGTCAGAGGACAATCTTGGGTGTAAGTTCTTTACCACTGAGACAAGGTCTCATGTTGTTCCAGGTCTCTTGTTGAGCTTCTTAACTTTCCCCATCCCCCATCTCACTGTAGATGTACTGGGGTTATAGACACATGCTGTGTCTGGTTTTATGTGTGTTCTAGAAATTTGAACTAAGACAGCTATCTCCCCAGCCCTTTTTCTATATTGACTCATTTATTTATTTTGAATCACAGTCTTACTATGTAACTCTTGCTAGTCTGAAACTCACTATGTAGTCCATACTAGCCTTAAGCTTATATCAATCCTTCTGCCTCAACCTCTTAAATGATGGGATTACAGATGTCAGCCACCATATCCTGGAGTGGAGCAAGAGTGGAAAGAGGGACCACAGCACCGAGCGATGCAACTTTTCACCATTCAGAGAACAGCTAAAGCAACACAGCTTATTTAGTGTCTCTGGATCTCACACACAAATGCCAAATTCCTTGTAATCATTCACACATTCACCAAAATGTTGCCTTCCTTCCCTTCCCTTTAGAAACCACTACAATACTCCAACCTCTGCCATATTGTCAGGTCAGTGTATAGTGTGCATGCCTCCTGAGCACCTGCCTCAGTTCATGCTGGAGCAAGCCGAAGTCCCATGGGTCACAGAAAATCCCAAGAAAATTCCAGACTTTACTATTGGAGATCACAGACCTCTTCACACCCTAGAAAACTGCCAGGCCAGGCCCAGGACACATTCTATGCCTCTACCCAGACTTTATGTGACAAGTCTATAACATTCCCACAGTGCTGTGTAATCAGTGATTCATGGCTATCAAAGGAGACCAGAATTCTGTGGGAGCAAGGGGAGGCTACCCTATGGTCCTATGAAGAGTTCTGGCTAGCTGCTGAGGCAGTGGCAGGATTTCTAAAATAAAAAAGCAAACATCCACCATTCCTTTCTTCTTCAATAAGAGTGGCAGGCGTAGAACAAACAGAAGTAACACTCCTCCTCAATTTGCCATTTTTCTCAGCTTAAGCCAACCCTCTTACCAGAGCATCATACCAATATTCTTCCACATGGCATGTTGTATTGCTGTGAACATCCTATTTTGAATCAGGAAGCTGCTTAGCATTTAATAAAGCATTTTATATTCAGTGGGTATTTTCCTAAATGGCTTATATACTAAAGGGTTATTTTTTTCTCTTAAGCATAACTAACATGAAAATAACCAAGGACTACTTTATAACACACATGCATCCTAATAATCTAATTATGCAGGTCACCCAGCTCAGGACCCCACCTTAGCAATGCCACTCCAAGCCATCTCTCAGGTGGTCTTTGTCACATCAATAGAAAGCAGCTACAATAGAAAGTGTACCAAAAAATGGGTGCAATTGCTGTGACCAACCTGATCATGTTTTTCTAGAGAGGGCCGTGAAGCATTTGGAACTTTGGGCTGGAAAGGGCACTCGTTCTCAAAGCTTAACCGATTAATGTTAAGAGGGCCCAACCCATTGTGGGTGGTGCCACCCTGAGCAAGTGGATCTGGGTAGTACAAGAAAGCAGGCTGAGGAAGCCATGGAGAGCAAGCCAGTAAGCAGCATTCTTCCATGGGATCTGCTTCAGTTCCTACCTCCAAGATCCTTCCTTGAGTTCCTGCCCTGACTTCCCTTTATGATGGATTATAAGCTGTAAAGTAAAATAAACCCCTATCTCCATGCATTTGGTCACTATCTTAAGTTATGGTTTCCACTGCTGTGAGAAAACACCATAACCAAAAGAAACTTTGGGAGGAAAGGGTTTATTTCAGCTTACATTTCCTCATCATAGTACATTCAAACAGGACAGGAACCTGAAGGCAAGCGCAGACGCAGAGGCCATGGAGCTACAATAGAAAGTGTACCAAAAAATGGGTGCAAAAAATACTGCCTTGTTCTTCCTGGCTTGCTCCATTTGCCTGCCCAGGGGTGGTACTGCCCACAGTTAACTGGGTTCTCTCATGTCATCATCAGTCAACAAAATGTACCACAGGCTTGCCCCAGGCCAATCTGGTGGGGACACTTCTCAGTTGAGGTTCCCTTTTCTCAAATGACTATCTTGTGTCTAGCCAGCACAGCCATATTATCTATTAACAGTAATAGAAAGCAAAAAAGAACACTCCAAAATCGTAAGCCAAAATAAATCTTTCCTCCCTTAAGATTTTTTTGGTCAGGTGTTTTGTCATAGTGATAATAAAAACAGTAACTACGTTACTATCAATCTCTCCACATGTTCGAGCAAAGGATGTCCAAACCAATGATTCACAAAGTTGAGGTAAAGAGCTGCAGGGACAGACTCCACTCTTTATAAGTACAAAGGACTCCAGGGTCCTCCCCAGCCTGAGAACTCCAGCTGGAAATAACAAATTAGCATTCCCAGTCTCAAGAACAGGAAGGAGTTAGGGACTTTGTTATGTCCCATGGAAGCTGGACTTCACCACACGTTTCAGGAGAGGGTGGGAAGGCTGGACTAATGGAGCAAATGGGCTAAGGTGAGAGCCATCCTGGGGTCCTGGTTGGGATGTTTCTCTACCAGGCTAGGCTCTAGAAAAGATGGCCCAGGAAGCAAGGTTTGGACAAGAGAACACAGAGTAAACTCTCAGGAAGTGCCTTGGCAGTAAGGCTTGGGGCAGACACAGCACCTAAAAAGTATTTGGGAGAGACAAGGATCCCCCAAAGAACTGAGAGGAGGTAAGTAAGCCATGCTTTCTATATTACAAAATGTAGTTCCAGAAAATCCTGGGTCTTACACTGAACACTTCTTTAATTTCTTATTTCCTCTCCTTTAATCTGCACACTACCTGGCGTTCTAAACTATACAATTTCCACCAAGAATTTAACTATTCCTATAATCATGCTCAAATAACAACTCAGCCCAGACAGTGTGGCCTCCTTTGAGAACATTCCCCAACCTCCTTCCTATGCTTCTTCTGAAAAGAGTTGAAAACCCCCAATGGTACTGGTGTCTCCCTTAGCAGCATGTCCTTTCTTCAAGGCCCTGTGAAGTCTGAGTTTAGCCCCTGTGATCTTGAAGCCAGTGTATTTGTTTATAACATTGTCCAAGCTGACTCCTCCTGGTGCTGTAGTGGGTAATTACTGCAAGCATCCCATCTCCAGACCCTACAGGAAACTTAGCCAACTCCTGGGAGTGTGTTCATGCCATGTGCACTGCAGCCTTGGGTCGTCATTCTAGTTCACTATAGTTCTGAGTTTAATTACCATCACTCAATGACGTTTGCTGTTGGCATTGAGACAATCTAAACAGCAGGGGTCAGCTTTAAAAATCAACATCAAAGTACCCTTTGCCAACCTCCATCGTGATGCCTCAATTTTCAGAGATGATCTCTCTCAAAAATGATCTTTCAGCAGGGCAGTGGGGTTGCACGCCTTTAACCCCAATACTGAGTGGGGTGGGGCAGGGACGGATCTCTGAGTTTGAGGCCAGTCTAGTCTACAGCATGAGTTCCAGGATAGCTAGAGCTATTATTCAGAGAAACCCTGTCTCAAAAAATCAAGGGAAAAAGTGATATGTTTTTTGTTGTTGCAGTTATAATGCTAGGGATTAAATCTAGGGTATTATACATATGGAATGGCAGGCAAACTCACTTCCATAGGACCAAAGTAAAAGTGATTGGGGGATTTCACACTCAGATCCTCACAAAGAGTGAGAGTAAAGAATTGCTGTGCTAAGTTGTGGGGATGTGACACACTTGTAGGAAATGGCCTTTAATCCCTCTTATTGGTTTGTGTGTGCAGGCATGAATGAGTGTGGGTATAAGAGTGTGTGTGTGTGTGTGTGTGTGTGTGTGTGTGTGTGTGTGTGTGTACCTCTATGTTTGTGCATACACATTTACGTCTGGCTCTACCACTAAGCCAACACTCCCAGTACTAAAAGTGACTTTAAAAAAAAATTAGGCAAGCCTCAAACTTGTAATCCTCCCGCCTCAGTCTCCCATATTAGCTGAGATCACAGGTACACGCCAACATATCTGCCTCTAAAAGTGAGTCTGTACAACTCTGAAGTGGGGAAAATGTGAGTGGGTGAAAATACTGTGAGATGTCCGAATAACTCTCGATCTATGCAGTGTATGCAGTAGGACTTTGATCTTTTCTTCACATGGTCAAAGCAAACCTAAACCTCTGGGCTAGCCCAGGAACAACCACTGCCCCACCCCAGCTTTACTGGACACTGACTAATCTTCAAAAAGTCAGTATTTTATTCTGTTAAGTATCCTTACAATTTCTTCTGATAACAGCAAAACAGACAAAGAAATTTTATTTCTGCAAATAAACACAAACGAAAACACCAAAAAACTAAAATGAAGAAAAACACTTATCTCTAATGCCATTCCTACCACAAGTTTGGTCTGTCTCTTCCTGGGGGTTTCTGGTTTGCTTTGTTTTTTAAATATTTACTTTAAGAGTATGAGCATTTTGCATGCAATTATGTCTGTGTACCACAAGTGTGCCTGGTAGCCAGAGCTAAAAGAGCATCTGAATTGGAACTGGGGTTATAGATGATTGTGAGCTGTCATGTGGGTGCTGAGAATGGAGCCAACTCTCTAACACCTCCTCCTGGGAAGTTTAATAAATACAACTGTGTTTGATTTTTTTTTTTCTTTTAAAGAGAATGAGATATAAGCAGTTTAGTAACCTACTTCTCTCTTGACCTACCAATATTCTTGCGATTTTTTTTATGTTTCACTTGCACATATGTCTGTACAGCACGTGTGCGCAATGTCCTAGAGTCCAGATGAGGATGCCAGATCCCCTGGAGCTGGAGTTACTTCAGCTGTTAGCTGCCAAGTTATTGAATCTAAGAGCTCTGGAAGAACATCAGTGCTTGGAGCCTCTGACCATCATTCCAGCCCCACTCACAGCATTCGTGCATGCTGGTTTGCTTTCTGTTGCTGTGATCAACACCGTAACATAAAGCAAATTAGGGAAGAAACGATTCTCTTCATCTTCCACATCACAGACTATCACTGAGAGAAGCCAGGGCAGGAACTCAAGGCAGGAGCCTGAAGGTAGAAATTGAAGCAGAGACCATAGAGGAGTGCTGCTAACTGACTTGCTCCTCATGGCTTGCTCAGCCTGCTTTCTAACACCACCTGCACAGGGGTGGTACCACCTCACACATCAATCATTAATTAAGAAAATACATCCCAGGCTTTCCCACAGGCCAACTTGATGGGGGTCTCAGTTTCTCAATCAAAATTCTTTTTCCCAATCACTCTGGCCAGCACACAGTCAGCAGAAACAATGGTTGCATTAGGTATGCGCTCACTGGAAATGGCCAAAGACTTGAATCCCCCTCAGTTGTTTAATTTTATGTGTGTCTGTCGGTCTGTCTGTCTGTCTATGTGAACATGTTGAGGCCAGCACATACTGGGCATCTTCCTCAATGTCTTCCCACCTTACTTTTTGAGACAGGGTCCCTCACTGAACCTGGAGCTCACTGAGTGACTAGACTGGCTGGCCAGCAAGATGAGATCCATCTGTCCACATTCCCAGCACTAGGGTTAGCGGTGTGGGTGACAAAGCTCAGCTTTTGACTTGGGCACTGGAGATGTAAATCTGAACTCAGGTCCTCATGCATGCATGGCCATCCCTTTACAGACTGAACTATTTCCCCAGCCTTAACCCTCTCTGTTTCAGCATAGCAGGTACTAAGTAGACAACTGATAGAATTAAATGCCAGAAGTGTCCCTTCTGACATAAGGAAAAGACTGTCACAAAGCACAGCCAGACTGAGGGTCCATGCTGGCTAGAGAACCAAGCACTTCCTGGCTGGGTCACAGTTCTGAGCAAACACCCTCTGCAGCATGCAGGCCCTTGCTGGCCCCTTCCTCTCAGTAGGATTTGTTAGAGAGCGTGCATGTTAATGTACTCAGACATTTTCTTTATACAGGCTGTCACCACCAGGGTTGTTTAGTTTCAGCAAGAGGAATTATAATGTGCCCACAACAAGCTGATTCCTTACACACAGAAACAAAACATAAAACATGCTGAAGTAAAACTCACTCTGAAAAGGCTCCTGTTGAAAGAAAGCTTCATTACCAGTGAAGTGTGTACCTAGCCATTTCTATCCTTGACTTTTCTCTCCAGCAACCTCTGAAGTGTTTTTAAAGTGGAGGCTTCATGGCACAGGCATGTGAGACACCCTGCCCATGTTGCATATATCCTGTAGACCCTTGTAAGATGCTGCTTGGTTTACTTCAGAGCATGGTGGGTCTTAGCACAGGAGAGGAGGGACACTTCCTGTCTTTACTGGACCATGCATAGGACAACCAAGCTTTCTTCCCACCGATAACAAAACAAATGCTATTTCCGTTGACTTAAGAGTTTTGCCAGAACATTCTGGCATATACTATGTCTTGGGCTTCCTCACCATGCGCTCCATTACTCTTCAAGGATGCCACAGCAACTAATTTTCAATCACCTTTTAAACAAAGCATGCTTCTATTTAATTTGCCCCATATAATGGAGTACACAGATTTCATGTAGGAGGCCACGCAGCAACACGGCTCTGTCCCTTCTGGCTATTTTTCTCCTATGGACAGGGGCTGAAACAACTCTTTCCCTGTACTTTTAAAGCCTGAAAGTTGAACTTCCATAACTCTGAGAACTTACCATGAATACCCGATGCACACAATCAAGAGAAAGGTGCCCAGCCAGGTTACCATGTTTTCATCTCTATGCAGACCTTGACTGAAGTCAGGAGCACATATGGTAATATTCTTCCCGTGTTCATCTTGAGCTTTTAAACACATAGCAAACATAGACACATTAGAAAGTCGTATTGTTCCTTACAGGTTTCATCTGGGAAGATTCAGATAGCTCTGGCATGACTCCTCCCAATACTGAAGCCTGCACACGGGGGCCTTCTACCCTGCCATCTGACTCTGCACAACTCAACTAGTTGAGAACACTGCCCTCCCACATCAGGACACATGAGGAACAATACCCTGCTCCCCTCTGTGTTCCAGTTAAGTGTTCAAGGATGTGATGACTCAGGAGTTAGTCACTCTGGTCTTTTCCACTATTAAACAGAAAACGGTAAAAGCAAAGTTAGACCCATTTTTAAAATATTACGCTTTTTAACTGGATCCACAAGCCTCTGAAGAGAGGGGTAGAGCAAGGCCCCCTGGTGTGAAGAACCCACTTCGAGACAGTGGAATGCATGCCTGAAACTGGGGCTCCTATGCCAGAGAAGACAGGTTACTACAGATGACATAAGGGACATAGCCTTTTTCAGCCTGTGACATGGAAACCTCCTGAGGTAGTCTAAATGTTTAAAGAAATAAGCCAATATGCTAGATATCAATGTTTCTAGAATATTTTTAAAAACATTGTGCTTCAATTATGAATATCCAGCTAGATCTGATTGCCAACTTGACCCCAAAAGAGGAAGTGGAAATCATTCTACAAACACACAGTCTGTTTGGCGTTAAACCGGAATTGTCAGTGGAGTTCACCTCAAAAGAATAAACATAACCATGTCAGCCGTGATTTAAAAACCCTTTATTTTGGAGGCCAGTGCATTGGGGGAAATGATTTTTGTGAGATGGGAGCAAAATTTAACATTTATATTTAGGTAGTATTACTTAAAAGTAAAAGTGTTTTATTGTTTTGGGGAAATATTTGCTATTTAAAACAAACACTGTGAACAAAATCTCCATTAAGTTAAAACCAGAGATCAATATGTAGGCAATTGTAAGTGAAGTTTAAGGCCCCAGGGTAAACTAAGTCAGGATTAAGCTTTTGTGTGTAACTAAACTCAGGGTAAGCTATATTTACTAGAAGACCTCCACTTACTATTTCTACCACAACTGTGAAGACAAGACCAGAGCCGAACATGGGGGCATGTGCCTATAATTCTAGCACTTGGGAGGCCGAGGCAGAACAGCAAGTTGAAGGCCAACCTGGGCTCCATAGTGAGTTGCAAGTCAACTTGATTTAATAGTTAAGAACTTCTCTGAAAACAAACAAGACCTATAAGAAGTACCTGTATCTAAATAGCTATTACATTTGTTTCCTAAATTTAGCAACTTCTATTTTCTATTCTATTAAGACTATATTTACTTGATTTATAGAAGATCAAATATACCTGAACATTCACACATTCATGCATCTGTATGTATATACATATGTGTATATGCATACTTATGTATCACAAAAGCGATAAATGTAAAATATAATGATCTAGAAAATATGAAAATTTGGCCACCTGTTCATAAGGCTTGGGGGTCTCATAATATGTTAGAATACAATACTACTTATATAGGTTAAAATCTTACTTTTGGCACATGTCTTAGTCCCAGCACTTGGGAGGCAGACAGGTAGATTTCTATGGTTTTGAGCTCAGCCTGGTCTACATAGGGAGTTCTCGGTTATGTAACCTGTCTTTACAAGCTTTTAAAGTAATCACTTTACCAATTTTACACTAGTACCAGGAACACCCCACAGAATTTGCTATGTGCCAGCCACTGTCTAACTGACTAATGCACACATCATCTGCATTTTCCCTGAATCCTAAAAACCGCACATAGAACAGAGCTCTGACAGTCTGGCTCCAATGGCCATGCTCCTTGGTCTCTATGTTCAGTTGTCTCTGTAAATGAATATCATCTAGGACAGACTTTGAGATTGCCTGCCAGCCAGTGACAGATCCAGGTACAAATTGTGTTTTTTGCTTCCCTTACCTTTATACTTTTTCCACGCTCTCTTACTGTCAGAAAATAACCTCCCGAGGTAGGAAAAATTAATAACTAAAAAACTGAAATAAAATGAAGCAAAAACAAAACAGAACAAAAAACAACAGAATAAAATAAAGTGGTTCTTGACAAAGCAGAACAACAGAATGCAGAGGAGGCCTAAACACTTAAAAGCTGATATGCCGATCTCTGTTCATGTCTTTTCTGTGCAGTGGCAAAACTCAAAAGATGCTGGGGAGCTAGAAAGAGGGCTCAGTGGCTACTGGCCCTTGTGACTGTTGTGCCCATGTCACGTGGCTCACAGTGGCCTATAATTTAGCTTCAGGGGATATGTGTCCCCTTTTGGACTCCGGGAGTACCTGCACTCACACACGCACGTGCATACACACACACACACACACACACACACACACACACACACAATTAAAAAATAACAAAAATTTTTTAAAAGGAGAAAATTTTGTTTTATTTCATGAAAAAAATCTAGATCATCTTACTTCTTTGATTGAATCCTTGACAGCTCAGGTTCTGGGGAAATGAAGACACATGTACCATCAGCACATACTCCTGAACAAGGCTCCTTACCTATTTTTTCAGGCTTGCTGGTCAGCGCTGAGAAAGTGAGGTATGTGACATAGCAGCTTATCAGCCCCGACTGCAACAGCCCGGAGTGTGGCTGTCCTGGAACAAGAGACAGACGAAGACAGGCTTGATGTCCCAGCAGCAAGACACTGGACCTTAAACAGACTTCCCTCCCTGTGATGAAGCTCCTTAAACTTGTGTACCCACCTTTATCAGGGAAAAGGAGAACCTAATAAAGTGTTTGTCTCAGAAAAACATTAGAATTGGGTGAGGGTGTGCCTACTCTCATACTGCTATTTTAAAGATGCCAAATTCTGTCCAACTTCTCCAAAAACAAAGCTTCAAAACCTATAACTACACAACACAATGCCCAGACCCCTGAGGGGTTCTAATTGTATGTTTAAGTATGTATGTATATATGGATGGATGCATGGATGCAAGTGCCATAGCACGTGGGAGGTCAGAGAACAACTCACAGGAGTCAGTTCTCTCCTTCTACATTGTGGGTTCCAGGGATTAAATAGAGGTTCTCGGGCTTAGCAGGAGTGCCTTCAGCTACTGAACCATCTCCCAGGCCCCTCCCCCTGAAGTGTATAACATTAGCTCATAAATCACAAGATGAGAAGAAAATCAGCATCACTGTTTAGCTTAGTGAAATAGACAAATGTGCAGACGCACGAGGCCATTAGCTAACCCATGAAGCAAGCAAACACTTAGCTGTCAGACAGAAAGAAACAACAGAACACTCTTGGCTACACTAAGTACATGACCTAGTCCAGGCTCTAAAGAAAAACCATGGGATATGACATTCACTGGGTGAGGGACTTTTAAAGTTATCATATTTACGTTACAACTTAGTATTGGAATCATTTAGAGTAACTACAGAATCTAGTTGCATGGGCTCTCCCTTTGCTAAAATTTTCAACCACCTGTTCACATGAAAGGATTCAGGCTTCCTTCTGGTTCGAATTCCTTTTTTAAATTACCATTATTCAATTATAATTATTAATAGAAGTATTGTAACAGACTTTCACAATGTTGCCCTTTTGAATAAGACATCCTTAGAACTAATGCCATTAAGTAAGATGTTATGCCTGTTCCAAAAGGTACGACTGAATCCAAAGGAGATTTAGTCAGCTTACCGATAAGTTTGTTTTAGGAAATTCTTTACTGATCAGTTGCAGAGATTGGGAGAATAATCATTTGCCTCAATTTCTGTAATGCAGTTGAAAACTTAGCCCAGATACTAAAATTATTTGCTACTCCCTAGCTGCTTCCTTTTTCCTTGAAGGGGATGAGTCTCATGTAGCCTGGGTTGGCCTCAGACACCTCTGTGCAGTCAAGGCTGGCTTTAAATTTCTGATTTTCTTGTTTCCATCTCCTAAGTACTGTGATTACAGGCATGTGTAAACATGCCTGGCTTCTGAAACACACTGTTTTGGAAAGGATTCAAAGGGGTGATACATTTATTATCTACATGTCATTTCCTATCCAGAAATCTGAATGGCATGTGCAGATGAATCACCTATAGAGTAAGATTCCTTCAAGAAACACCACACTGGATACATCTTTCTAACTCTGAAGGCAGCATGGCTTCTGCACACAAGCTTATAGTATCAGAGGTAGTTCATTGACGACAAGCTACACCTCTATTTTCTATGGTACTTTCAACCCTCACTGTTTCTTTTGTGGCTCTGAAACAGCCTGAGCAAAGTCAAGCTCACACAGCTCTGCTGACTTCACTGAAGTAGAATCTGGTCATGACTGGAAGCAATCAGGAGAAGATTTCCTATTTCCTGATCCATGTTGTCCTCGGTTGCTAGTCACTTGCCTAAGACAATCCCAGGAACAGCTCCTCTGGACCTTGTCATTCAAATTTCACCAGGACACAACAAGCCACATTTATGAATCTGTTTGCTTAACAAAGACTAAGCATATTCCCATGTAAAGGCCCCCTATAAGCACTGTCTATTTTCCAATATATTGGCTTAAGTTCAGCTCTTTCTGGACACAAAGTAAACCTGGATATCACCTCCAAATAAGCATGGAATATGAAAAGGAGACTTGCGCCCCATCCACAGGAAGTTAAAGAATGACTTGGGCTTTCAAATAGCAACTGTGTTTGTTCAAAATCACAAAGGAAAAATATACAGAAAAATAAAAAAACCATGCTTACGGCTCTGGACACAGGGTGAGATGGCTGCCAGGGAGATTAGAAGGCATAGGCCACCATGCACTCCCAGGAGGATCTTGTTGTCGGTGCAGTCATCACTCTGTGTGTAAAATACCGCCATCAGAATCAAGCCGCCGACAGCAATGGAGTACATGACAAGTGTCGCCAGGGACAGGGAGGCGTACCACAGCTTGTTACTGGCAGTGCCTGCATTCCTGTTTCTCCGGGAAGGAGGTAGGGGAGGTGGAGGAGAGAAAACAGTCAGTGAAGGCCTCCGTTCTCTGGAGCGTTCCAGTCCTCAGATATTGGCTGGCAGGGACAGGCCCCATCAGGGACACTGACACCATGAACAGAAGACACCTTAAGCAATGATGACACTCCACCTCAGTTAGAAATTCTCACAGTTATGCAGACTGCTGACTTAGGCTTAGAACCATCTCTAAACATGAGTTTCTTCTCCTGCCCCAAGTGTGTTCATCTCCTGAAGTGAACATCTACCAGCTTCATCCTAGGCTCCTCCATACTAATGCTAACAGTGCTGGGGAAGGTAGTGGCAGCACTGAGGCATGAAGCAAAAAGGGCAATTCAGTGGGGTTGGCTTGGCACTTTCTCTGTGAGTGCAGAGCCTGGTGTTGCCATGATCTCTCATTCATTCCAAATGCTGCCAGCAGCCCCTCTGAAGCCACCTTCTCTTGGAGGAGAAACAAACAGCTCCACTCACAGAAGCCTGGCCATCCCTAGTTCTTTTCTCTATGTACTGAAAGGGGCCTGCATCAGGACCACCTCTCCAAAAACTATGAGGAAATATTAAGGGAGAAACATTGCAGTAAATAAAATCAGGGAAAGAGGGGTTGGGGGCATGGCTTGGTGGTTAAGAGTACTTGCTGCTCTTGCAGATGATGTGAGTTCAATTCCTAGCACCCACATCAGGCAGCTCACAACTACCTGTAACTCCACCTCCAGGGAACCTGAAGCCTCTGGAGGTACCTGCATTCACATGCACATACTCCCACATAGACATACTCACATGTGCATAGTTTAATACATCTTTAAAGTCAGAGAAAGAAAAGCTGTACTGGGGCTGGGGAGAGAGATCAGTCAGGGAAGAACTTGCCTTACAAGCATGAGAACCTGAATTCTGTATTTTAAAAAGCTAGGCATAGTGACATGTACTTCTAACACCAGCACTGGGGAGGTGGAAACAGCTAGATTCCTTATATTCCCTGGCCATCTATTCCAGCCTACTTGGGAGTGTTCCAGACCAAAAGGTGGACAGCATCTTAAGAATGACAGCTCATGTTGTCCTCTGGCTTCCACATGCATGCACAAACGTGTTCACCCCTATAAACATGAATATGCACCTACATATGCACACGGAAGAAGGGAAGAGAAGGAGGGGAAGGCAGGGGAGGTCCACTGGGATACACCATAAAGAAACTAAGAGAAGAGTCTACTTTGTAGTTTTAGAGACATTAATAAAGGTATGGGTAACATTTGTGGTGATATAATTCTGTAGAGATTGTTCAGAACAATGAGGAGTTGTTTACATATGCTAAGCAAAGAGGAAAGAGCAGAGGAAGACTGGCTGATTGACTGTCATCTGTCTCATGATTCAGCTGCTCTTGGTGCCAGCAACTGTGCTCCCACAACCATGCTCCCCCATTCTTCAGAGAAAGCAGTGTCCTAATGTTTGCACTGAGCTGGAAAGTATTTAAGCAACACAGCTAAAATGCTTTTACAACGGGAAGGTCACTCTCGACAGAGATAGAGAAAACAGGAAGGAAGGCTGGAATGATAATGACACTAAGCCAGGCACTCTGATGACCTCAGAAGTACCCCACATGAAAGGCACACAAAGAAAATGAGAGACAAAAAGACACTGGTGGGGCGGGGGGACAAAATATAACGACAAGGAGACGAAGAGAAGTGTACACCAAAAGGTGAACACTGGACTGGTGGGAGGGGCAGGGCCCAGCTTGCTCCTCCTCTGGTATGTGGATTGTTGTTAGCATGTGAGGGATTTCCGATCACACTGGAAGGCTAAGTGTTCGGCCCTAGCCTCTCCTGAGCTCCAGACTCTCCTTCCTTCACACATCACGATGACTCCATGTTCACTTCCCTCTCCTCTAACCTCAGTAAATGGCAAGCACACTCTTATTGTTGGGAGAAAGAAAACACAAGGACCACAGGCACTTTCTTCACCTCCACACCTTCACAGCACTTCCAGATCCACCCACACTTGACCCCTGTTCAGACCATATCAGAATCCCCCACACCTCAGTGCCAGACCACCTCACACCAGCCTCCTTAGCATGCTCTATGGCCCTCTCTTGTATTTTTTTTTTTAAGTTAAGAACGATTCAGTTACATTCTCCCTTCAAAACTCTTCTACTCTGCCAACATTTCATCTAAAAATCAAAGCAGGAAGTCTGGAAAGGCAGCACAGTGGTGAAGTACTTGCCTAGCAGATGCAATGCCCTGGGTAAAAATTGTTTTAAAAAAGCCTCTCCACCAACCCTCAAAGGCACTATGATCTGGCATGGGGCCATCTCTGATATCATCTTCCCCACTCTTCCCACGCCACTGGGCCCTAGACACAGATGTCCCTCTGTTCCTTACACAAGCCCAGCAAGCTCAGGTCTGAGCAGGGCCCTGCCAAAGGATAGCCTGGTCTCCTGCACCCTGTGCAGCGTAGTTTGCATGCATGAGCTCTTTATGTAACTGCATGATTCTGTGTTGAGTATATACTTCCCCACTACAATACTATCTGCTTTGCGAGCAGTCTAGGGCTGTTCCCTGCCTTGTTGCTACCATGCAGGATGGTGCCTGGGAGGTGAGAGGCTCTCACTGAGTGTGCTGTAAAGAAATAACACAGGATGGCAAGGTAAGCTAAGAGGCTGTCACTGTGTTGCTCCAGCTTCACCTGTGCATCTGGCTGAAGGTCAACCCAGTCAGTATTGTGACTAGTCACCTTTCCAATTCCCATGTTCAGGGCAATGTTGTCTGGAGCACAATAGTTCAAAAACGGTATTGACCACATGCTGAGTAAGAAGCTCTGGGACAGAGAACAGAAGAGTGCAGGTGACTGGCAAAGTTGACACACAACAGGCTGGGAAGACTGGGTGGGCCCAGGCTCAATGACAGGCAGGACCAAACTAAACCGAACAAGGCGAATTTAAAATGTTTTCACCATTAACTCTCATTAGCAACACCTGAATATACTAGCTACCTTCTGTTATTTCATCCATCAGTTATTTATTTATGGAGGGGCATGTGTACCATGTGTGGCAGTCAGAGGGCAATTTATGCAAGTTCTCTCCTTCTACCACATAGGCCCTGGGGATTAAACTCAGGTCATCAGGCTCGGTGGCAAGTGCCTTTACCAACTGGTCATCTGGCCAGCACTTGTACCTTCCATTATTTCGATTGTAATATAGAACAACCTTTCAAATTGTGAATATGACCTAGACAGCAAAAAATGAAACAAAACCATAACTAATTAAGCATTCAATCCAACCAACCAAACCATTTTATAGTACAAAATCGGGTGTCAGAGATGCCAACAAATATTCCTCAAAGTGATATTCCAGAATGGATAGGGATAGCAGATCTGTGTTCAGCTGGTTTGCAGGCCCATGGCATGTCTACCTTGTAGCTTTGGGAATCTCTTTTGATATATTTATAAATGAAACAAAAGAGAAAGAAAAAGTGTCATCTAATAAGTTGTTCCTCTAAAGCCAGTCATCACATTTTCTGTGTTAGCTCTGAATCAAATCTATTTAAATCAAAGCAAAACAGTGAAAAAAGGGGGGGAGCATAAATGTTAAAAGAAAGAAAACAATTTTAGTGAGCTCCCCAGCTTAGTATTAATTTTAGGCTGATGCATCATCTATACGTGTGGTAACAAAAGGTTTTTTGGGATTCTATTCTCAAAACAACATTGTCTGCAAACGTCTGTTTTTTAAAGATTTTTTTTGTGTACATATACATCTGTATACATATAGTCCACATCTGTGCAGTGTCCAAGGAGTCTAAAGGTGAGTGTAGGATCCCCTGAAACTAGGGGCAAAGGGGATACCAATAGTTGCAAGCCACCCTGCATGGGTACTGGAACTGAACTCGGGGTCTCTGGAAGAGCAGAGGGTGCTCTTAACTTCTGAACCACAAGCTCTCTATTGAGTAGTTTCTAGAAAGTTTTCAAAGTGACCAAACTCTTCCAAAGGGCCCATTAAACTTTGGCATTAATAATCAGTCCCAGAAGAACTGGCTCTTGAATCAGTTAAAGCACTCAAGGAGAGGCAGAAGCACAGATGCCCAGGGGGACCTGCTGTGTGCTGCACAAGTCAGGACTCAGTGTGCAAGACACTAACAACTCAGCATAAAGCACACACATGTCATGGACCTGCAGAACTCTGAGAGGAAACTTTGATTTTTGCCCAATACATAAGACAGCATGCAATATTATCATTTAAAAATGCATTTCTAACTTGTTATGGGTACTTCTGTACAAAAAACATAGGGTCAAACAGAAGATTTGACAGTACAAACCACTAAAATTTAAAAGTGACTCAAAATGTAGACAGCATGCAGTAACTCTCACAAAGGCACAAGTCAACCAGAAAATCTGTAATTGAAGAGGCAATACTTTTTTATTAAACATCAGAATATACCAGTAACACTTCTGTGTGACCAGTCAGTATGTTGTAAGTGTGTGTGTGTGTGTGTGTGTGTGTGTGCGCGCGCGCGCGCACGCGTGCGCACATATGCCCACCTTTTGAAGAGGGAGTCCATTCCCCTGGAGCTAGAGTCACTAATATGGGTGCTGGGAACCAAGCTTGGATCCTCCAGAAGAGCAGCAAGAGCTCTTAACCACTGAGCCACCCTGTAGCCCCAACATTTAAAATCTGGTCCTACTTGGCTGTACTAATCTAATATTCACTAAGTAATAAAATGGCTGGCATTTTATTATACTATGTCTTCACTGATGCACTCCACACACACACAGCTGCCACATCATCACATGTTTAAGAAACAAAAGCAGAACAATGTCCAAGTTAAAGAGTATGTTCAAAACAGAAAGCATTGAGAAAGCCTAGACAATGTGCTTTGTCTTAGTCAACATAAAAATAAAATGCACACCCACGTTGGCACTGTCTTTTTGTTGTTGTTGTTTTGTCTTTGTTGTTTTGCCAAAATTCAGTATTAAAAATGCATAGAAAATCTATAAAAGAGCAGCCATAGTTCATATACACCTAGAATCCTAGTACTCAGGAGGCAGAGGTAGGAGGATCATGAATTGACAGCCAGCCTGAGCTGCAGTGACAGATAGACATAAAGCAATAGCTTTATTGAGTATAAGATAGAATTATTTTAAAAGAAAAGAAAGTTAGCTCAGTGGTGAACACCTGCCCAGAGTTGATCTCCAACAACACCAAAATAGACACCAAACCAGCAATGGAGCACTCTGTGCAGAACCACAGTGTCAACTTGGCCTTAGTACAAGGACAGGGCCCTTGTCTGCTTGTCACTTCTTCAGTGTAGCTCAACAAGAAAGAATTAGCTATTAACAGGCATTTCCCCCGTGGTCTGGGATGTGAATTTTGTTTTCAAGGTACTAAACAGTCTATCATTTTACAGGCAAGACAGCTTCCTACAGCAGGACAACACATTTTCCCATCAAAGGGATGTTGTGTGTCTTGGAAAGTGGAGACAAAACATTTTCTTTAAGAAGAGAACTATTTCATCTCAGTCTTTGTAGAGGAATCTCATGCCCAAAGTGTTTGTGGCTTCTGTGCTTGTTCAGTTTCTTAAACTTGTAAGTGGGGCCTAGATGAAGTATACCAAGTTACAGAAACACAGGGTCCACACAGTCAGTCAGTCACACAGTGTCCACACAGCCAGTCATATAGGGTCTACAGAGTCAATCACACAGGGTCCCCACAGTTAATCATACAGGGACCACACAGCAGCCAGTCACACAGGGTCCACACAGCCAGCCAGTCACATAGGGTCTAGAGAGTCAATCACACAGGGTCCACACAGTCAGTTACACAGGGTGCACACAGCCAGCCAGTCACACAGGGTCCACACAGCCAGTCAGTCACACAGAGTCCACACAGTCAGTCACATGAGGTCTATCAGTCAGTCACACATGGTCCACACAGTCAGTCACACAGGGTCCACACAGCCAGCCAGTCACACAGGGTCCACACACAGTCAGTCACACAGGGTCCACACACAGACAGCCACACAGGGTCCACACACAGACAGTCACACTGGGTCCACACACAGACAGTCACACAGGGTTCACACAGCCAGCCAGTCACACAGTGTCCACACACAGACAATCACACAGGGTCCACAGCCAGTCATACATGGTCCACACAGCCAGTCACAAAAGGCACAAGCAAGATAGGAAGGCAGAGAAGACAAAAAGCAAAGAAGAGAAAATGGAGAGATCCAAATGGACTGGAACCAGAGTGGAGCCTTTCCCAGTAGGTACTTTCTTTGACTCAATGAGTGAAAGCTCTCCACTACATACCAGTTCTTGTTCCATTTATGTGCAAACTCAACAATCAGGAGCAGCTGGATACAGATGAAGATGAAGCTCCCCACAGCTCCCACATAGCGCCAGGCTGCAAAAGAGCATAACCCAAAGGGCAGGAAGGTGAGCACTGAATGTGATTCACTCTAAAGAAAATAAACTTTTGATTTGTGTTCATTATACCTCTAATACATTTCATTTTCTCACAACCCTACAAGGTAGGTACTACTCTCATCCTCACTTGTTAAACATGAGATAAGAACTGGTAGTCTATGGGAGTTTGTTAGTGTCTCCTTGGCAGAATCTAGAATCACTAGAGAAATGGGCCTCTAGGCACACCTGTAGAGGGTTATCTATGTTAATTAAGACTGGAAAGCCATCTTTATTGTCAGGACCATTCCTCCAGCAGAGGAGGTAGACTGTAAACTGGAGAAAGTGACCTGAGCACATGAGCAGGCATTTGCTACTCTTCTTCCCAGGCTTGTGACCAGCTACTTCAAAGGCTGCCTTGACTCCCTACCATGAACTATACTCTCAAGAGCATCCTTTCTCCTTTAAGTTGCTTTTGTCTGGGTATTTTATCCACAAAGACAATTGTCAAAGCCTCTCGCACATAAAGGGCATGGCTGGGACTTGGACTTGGACATCAGTCTGGTCCTGACTCATCCAAGTTGGAGCATCCAAGCTGAACCTCATGCTGAACAGACAGCTGTCTCAATAGATGCAGGAGTTCACAAAGTCCACAGTGGCCCCTGATTCACAAGCAAAAAGAAATATTGCTCACTGGGCAATGAGTCTTGACTATCCAGTATGGAAATGAGGTGACAAGGGCTCACTCATGTCTATTTTGGGCTCTGCTACAAAGTGACTATAATGTTGGATGCTTCATGTCATGTGGGCCTATAAAAAGATTGAGCTAGAGCTGGCCTGAGGACTTTAGGTCACCTCTCACTCTAGATGTATGTCTCCAATATGCTAAAATACATATTCTCTGTGGAGAATAAAAACTAGTTAACAGTGTTAAACCTAGAAGGAAGACTTAGACACACCATTTTTAAAAGCCTATGAAAACCTGACGCATCCCTAAAGATGTAGCTGGACCCTAATATTTACTAGGGCATCAAAGGAAGTATGGCTGGTGCTTATGAACAGCCATCTCCATTAGGAAAGTGCTTATGAACAGCCATCTCCATTAGGAAAGTGAATCGATTTGGGTTGAATGAAGTGTTTGATTCATTGGAATTTAGATTTCATCCCCTTCTTACTTGTTCCTTCCCTGGGAAGAGGCCCTGATTCAGTTATGATTAGTGGGTCATACTAAATACAGATAAGGATTGTAACTCCACGTTACCTAACTTCACAGTTAGGAAACTATGTTTAGAAGGTTTAGTGTGTTTAGAAAGACACTGGAGAATGCCTTCCTTGTCCAATTCTCACAGCTAACAAATGTTTCACCCTGCCAGCTCTGTGTGGTACTCAGAGACGAGGCCCCCTCATGGCAGAGGCATTCTGATCGGCTAGGTCTGTTTCCAAGTAAATATTAGAGACCTGCTTTATGCTCCAGGCAAGTATGTTTATCATTCCAATTCCTTAGCCAACAAAGTAACAGAGGCTTCTCACAGGCTGCCTACAAGTCGAGCAGGAGGAACAGGGGACAGGAATGTGTAGGCAAGTAACGCTGCCTTTAAAAAGCTCCTATACACTGCTGGAACCAAACCCAGGGTATTGCACTTGCTAGACAAGCATACTACCACTGAGCACCGAGACATTCTTTAACTCATAAAAGAATCAGTAGTTCAAAATATCAAAGGCACTGGGCCACACTTTTGAAGAATTTTACAGTGTGCAAAAACAAAATAGCCAGGTACCCGGAATACCCCATCTGTACCATTCAGGAAGGTTTCCTGATCCGGAATGAAGAACGCTCCTGAGCACATGGCCCCCAACAGCAGAAGCTTAAAGAACCAGAAGCTGGGAAGAGGAAAAAAGGAAATACATTTAAATGATATTCAAAGTTGGACAAAAGATCTCTAGGAAGGTAGCACACCAGCCCGTGTTCCTCTCATTGGTAGTGTTCTCTCCAAATCAAGGGGAAATGGTAAAGTGACTGCAGAATGCCTTCTCCCATAATTTGGCACACTTGGCATGGCTCTGATTGTACAAAACACTATTTCAGGGCATGAAGAAATGACCTGAAACAATAAACTCTGTGTATACGGAATTTATCATCATGGCACCAGGCATTACAAATAGCACTGTCACTCTTGGACTACCAGTGACATGTAACCCATCTTACTCAAACCAGGTCAAAACTGTAACTAGAAGATCAGCTAGGGCTGGTGGAGAGAGGGGTCCTGGAACACCCTTGGGAGGACAGAAGACTTACCCATTGTGGATGTAGGCCCGGCACCCTTTGCTGTTGTTGACCTTTAAGGTCAGCAGGCAAAACACAAAGAAGAAACAAGCCATTCCAAAGCAGACTCGATACACTGCAGAATACCCCACCAGGTTCTCACAGGTTTTACCAGCTTTAATGCCTTTACAGAAATCTTCAAAAAAGGGAATCTGGGGGGAGAAGGAGACACAAAAGCTGCCTGTTAGAACTGGGCTAGAAGGGAACTGTCTGTGAGTGTTTGTCTAGCATTAAGTCAAAACCCGTGGTAAAAATAGCTATATTCACAACAAAATCAAGACTGAACAAAAAACTACACATCCTCTAAAGACTTTATAGCTAGAGAGAGGCTCAGCAGTTAAGGGCATTTGCTGCTCCTCCAAAGGATACAGTTCAGTTCCCAGCACCCATATGGTGGTTCTCAGGCTCTGTAATTCCACTTCCAGTGGATTGCTTTCTTCTGACCTCCAAAAGTACCAGGGACACATATAGTGCATATATACACACATAGGCAAAACACCCATACACATAAAATTAAAAACATTTTTAACATATAAAGACTTTTTCTTAATTTTCTTTAACCCCCTTTTCAAAGACACAGTCCCTCTAAAAGCACTGTTCAATCTTCATTTACTTCAGTGATTCTCAATATCAGAATTTCCATTGCAGTTACAGGGTATAGATGTGTACTTGAAATACACACTATATAACATAAAAAGTGATAAACTGCCTACACAATCACTCCAAATGTCACTCCTTCTTACAGAAGAGTCAGCAACTTAGTTGGTAGGGGACTTTTACTCATTCACAAATAGAAATGTACGTATACACATCTATACAACACATGTATACACATACACACACCTATACACGCTCAGGTAGTACTATACACATTATATATTCATAATGGGTTTTTTGAAGATTTAGGGCTGTGTACTCATCTATCATGCATGAAGCCCTGGGCTCAATCCTAAGCATCACATAAAAAACTAGGTATGGTGATATATACCTATAATGCCAGCACTCAGGAGGTACATTGCTCTAGTCCCCTGAAACACAGAGAGACAGAGAAATGGAGACAGAGACAGAGACAGAGAGAGACACCTATAATGACAGCACTCAGGAGGCACATCTCTCTAGTCCCAGAGAGAGGGGGGGTAGAGAGAAAGAGAGAAGAGGGGGGAAGAAAGAATCTGTCTTGAATGTGCTGCTGTTTGGTTGGAAGGGAAGTATGGCCAAGAAGGTCCAAGTACAGGGACAAAGACAGCACAAGTTGGATTTTCTTCACAAACACAATTTGAGGCACTGGAGGGCATCCTTCTGAGCCATCCCAATGAGAACACCTTGTCACCACTTTGGAGTAGTGATGAAAAGTGAACACAAAGACATTGGAAGCACCCACAAGGAAGAAATGAGGGATGCCATGTGAGTGTTTTCTGAGGGAGTCTTGTTTATTTTCAGCTGGGTTGTAATGAGTAAGCATCTATATTAGAATCTTCAAAACAGTGAAGCAATGATGCAATGGTGATTCTTCACTATCAACTTCAGCATGCTGAGAAACTCCCAGGAGAGCAGTGAAGCACACTCTGAGTGGGTGGGTGATGGTGTTTTCATGACCATGAGCTCATGAGAACTCTGATGTAATGGATTTATAATACGATGGCATTATTGGAAGGTGATGAAAAGTAGGAGATGGGGCATAATTGGGAAAAGGAGGTAAATGGGAGGTATCTCGGGACTATAGTTTTATTTATCTTTGAGAGTTTCATACATTTTAATCATATTCTTTCCATTCCTCTAACTTCCCAGATCCTTGCCCCCTCTCTTACCCACTCAACTACATGTTATCTCTTCTCTCAAAGCAAAAAAAAAAAAATCAAAACCAAAAGACATCAGGTCCAATTTGTGTTGCCAACTATTCCTGAGAATGAGCCTGTCTTGGAGTGTGGCTGATACAGTGTGACTCTATTGAAGAAAACGGATTTTTCAAACTCTTCCAGCAACTATCAGCTGCAATCAGCTTCTTGGCTAGATATGGGGCTTGCCTCCCTCTCCCTGCTGGAGTTTTGTCTGAATTAACTTTGTGAGGGTCTTGCACATGCTGTCTGATGTATCTGGAGTTGTCCACCACCTCTGGCCCTTTATAACCTTTCTACTTCCTCTCCTGGGCTATATCTTGCCCTGACTTCTTCCTGTGTGTTCCTTTTCTCTTCTTTCTGTGCCATGCAGACAACAGTTTCTCCACTACCACACATTGCCACAATAGACCCAGAAATACTGAGCTAAGTGACCACAAATCCTCATGAGCCAAAATGATTAATCCCTCTGTAAGCTGTATCTTTTAGGTACTTAGTTGAGTAATAAGAAAAGCTCCTCAATATAAGTGGGGCCAGAAACAAAATTACTCTTTCAGAGTTCCAACTTTCCTAAAAGGAAGTCACTGTATATGAATAGCACTGGTAACAAGGGATGTTGCTTTAAATCAGTGAAAATTATATTTACAAAGAAGAAACTTGACAACATCACTTATTAGGCCATTTCATTTATATATACCTTCTCAAAAATATGCTTATTTTATTTGTATTGGTGCTTGCCTGCATATGTATCTGTATACCACATGTGTGCAGTGCCAGTAGAGTGCAGAAGAGGCATCAGAAACCAGGAACTGATTGAGTATCAGCTGCCATGAGTTTCAGGAACTGACCTCTGGTCTCTGTAAGAGCAACAAAGTTCTTAACTGCTAAACCATTGCCCCCGCCTATATGATTTGCTTGCCCAGCACACCCATGGTTGTCTGCCTTTGCTTCCTCTTTCATTCTCTTCCTTTTTTTGTTTTCTTAAAACAGGATCTCTCTCTGCAGCCCAGGTGAACCTTGGACTGACAGTAACCCACCTGCTGCAGCCTCCCAAGTGCCAGATTACAAAACTTGTCTTTTCCCTCTGAGAGTACAACATCCTGACCCCATACACACCACAATACATGCACACTGGCATGTTCCAACTACACCAGCCCTTCTTTCACCTTTACTCCCACCCCTTTCCTCCCTGTTACTCTCCTCCTGAGCACTGGCACTTCTCTGCCACTATTCCCAATAAAGCCCTGCCTTGTTTACTCCAGTCAGGCTCTGCTGTGGTTATAGCCCTGAGGCATATCAAGGGGTGAGTATGTGCCATTGCTAATGTGATCCAAACTAAAAGTGGGCAAATAAGCCCTGCTCCAAATACTGACCAAGCCCCCTTTATGCTCTGTGGGTGACTTAGCACATTTAGCCTTCAATAAATGGTGAGTATTTTTAGGCAATAACCTCCAAGCTGAACAAGCCAACAAGATTTTAACAAGAGGAATTTTCTCTGATTAAATATTTGCTGTTCCAAACACTATTCCAGTTTTGGGAAAAGAAAACATACACCACACACAGATTCCACACTCAAGGGTGTTACCTCTTAAGTCTGCTCTGGGCATACAGGTACATCACACACTGAGTTTGTGTTCTGTGCAGGCCTCTGGGAACAAGGACATCCCTCACATCCCATACAGAAATCAAACTCAAAGCCAAAACCGTCAAGTAAGAATAAATAGTTTACAGGGAGTTTCAATCCTGACTTCAATGCTCGTCTGGGCAAGTTTCACCTCCCCCATTCCCAAATTCTCTGTCTTTAAAATGAAATTATCTCATAATGTTGCCCAGAAAACTCCTCTGGCAGTTGGGCGGTGGTGGCGCACACCTTTAATCCCAGCACTCGGGAGGCAGAGGCAGGCAGATCTCTGTGAGTTCGAGACCAGCCTGGTCTACAGGAGCTAGTTCCAGGGCAGCCTCCAAAGCCACAGAGAAACCCTGTCTCAAAAAAAAAAAAACTAAAAACAACAAAAAAAGAAAACTCCTCTGGCTAATCCCTGTAAAGGGCTAACTACAACCCCTTGCCCAAGGAGGCCGTTACACTCAGGCACTGTCTAAGATATAAGGGATCGTTCTGGAGGGAGTGAGATACACTGCAAGGATCATGCAAGGGTGTGTCTGATCTAAACAAGGTAAAATAGGCATCTTGGAACTCTATGCACTGTGACAAAGGATCTACTACAGACCCATGCCATTAAGAAGAATGATGGCTGCATTCTTACACACACAGAGACACTCCATTCTAGTTCTAGTATTTAAGAGGCTGAAGATTCAGGAGTATCTACAGGTTAGAAGCCAACCGGGGGGACCTACAAGTATTTAAAAACCGCAACACCAGCTAGGGCTTGCCTCTCTTTGGATTAAGTACCTGGTGTGTGTGTGTGTGTGTGTGTGTGTGTGTGTGTGTGTGTGTGTGTGTGTGTACTGTCCTTATTAAAAGCCAAAAGGAGGGGATTAAAAATCCATGATCTGGTTTTACCTGATTTTACCATCTTTCAAACCAGGACCATCATGCCCTGCCCCCCAAGTAGTCTTCAGAGATAGAAAGCATATAGGCAGATGGACAGTACAGTTCACACAAGTCCTCTGTTTATGGCTACTATGATCCACTAGCTAGAAAACAGCTCTAACTGAAGAGTTAAATAAATAAACTTTTAGTCTAAACCAGAGAACTCAGAGAAGACTAAGCAGGGCTGGAGGAAGGGCTCTTCCAGACACAGAATGGAGTTAGTGAATCTCACCCTCCATTGACAGAGAATTAGGTAAAAATGAAGGTAGACTATGTGAGGCAGAACCACTTGAATCACAATTCTGAAGGAGAAAGAGGAGTAATTCCCAGTGAAGAACAGTGAGAGCAGGGCCAAGAAAGAGGCTGTCCTGTTAGACGTGATATCATCTGTGAGTAAAGGTATGGGACCTGCAAGGAAGATTCCCACTTTTGCAGCTGACAGTTCAAAGTGCTGCCTCCTCGAGTACAAAACCATTTTCAGCACCTCCACTGTGTGGAGGGCAGGACCCAGCAGAGAGGCACCAACGCTGAAACTTGCAGGGACTGTTTGCTTCTGGTTTAGATGCCCTCAGACCAAAGATAACATAGTTTTAAACCTGTGTCCCTACAGACCCCTAGTGAGAAGGGATGGAGCCCAAGGAAATATAAGAGGTGATACCTCACTGCCAGCTCCCCTAACCCTCAGCCTAGGGAAGCTATGATGGGCTCCTAGTGATCCACATGGACTGAGGTTCTACACAATTGATCAAAAGGCACAATGGCATGG